ATAAATCTTATTGAGCTAGATTGAAAAAAAAAGAACAGCAAGGCCCAGTCATTCCAGTCATTTACCTGACAGGAAATGTGCTTACAGACCCCAGGTAAGTTTTTTCAAAATGGGGAAGATCTCACCACCCTGACAGCAGTCACAAGGAGGCAGGGGAAACCACCTGACAGTGTCGGTGAATCCACCTGACAGCTCTAAATATTCATGGCCCTCCATGTGAATCAAAACCAGGTAGAACTCTAATGAGAAACAGACAAAAGCAAGATCGCAGCAGGAGTTTTAATAACTCATCCCAGTGATCGGCAGAGCAAGTGGATGGAAAGCCAATGCACGGCTCAGCTCAGGGATCAGAACAGACTGCCCAGGCAGCTCTGACTTCTCACTCCTACCAAACCAACAAGACCATTTTTATTGCTTCACAAACTAGCTACCAAGACGAACTCTGGTCTGAGCCAAAATCAAATGTTAAGAAATATAAAATGAGTCAAATTGTACACATAGGTTCTCTTACCGCAGTCGGGTTAAGTAAGAAATCAATAACAGAAACAGTTCAGAGAAATCTTACCCCCAAATTTGGCAACTTATGCACTTCTAAAAACCTGTAGTTCAAAGAGAAATGGGAAGTATTTTGAAGTGAGTTAAAATGAAAAGGTATCCCAAATTAGGGGATAGCTCTAAAGCACAGTTTGAGGTAACAACAGCACCAAACTCGGTGGGAAACTGAACCAAAACCAAAACCAGAGTAAGCCCTGGAAAACAGACAGCAGGACTGAGCAAGGCGGCAACCGCAGCCTGGCTGCATGCTCTGCGAGGTTCTCACAAGCCCTCTCCTTCCCGTGCGGGCCTGCTGGTTTAGCACTTTTCTTTAGTTTGACAGAGTAGGGAAGCTGTGGCTGAGACTGTCTGGCCTAAAAACCTAAGATAGTCATCATCTAACCTTAAAAAAAAAAAAAAACCTTACTAACCAGCAAAACAATAGTCAAAGTCAGTTCAACAAAGGCTGCTTGAGATCAGTGATGAGAACTGAATCCATCAAGACTGATCTGGAAGAAAGAGACACAGATGAGCTACTCTCAAGGCCAGTGAGAACAGGTGTGTGAGCAGAGACCCTTCCGGTACTAAAAGAATAGGAAGGACTATGACCAACAACTATGCTGGCTCATTTAGTAACACAGATGTCTCATGAGACACAAACCACCTCAGTTCAGTATAGAAAAGAAATATGTGTGTATTAAAGTGAGCTCTAAAGCCCCCTCCCTATAAGGAAAACTCCAGGCACACGTGAGTGCACTGTTGAAGTCCGCAGAACACTAAGGAACAGATAATAGAAATTCTGCAGTCCCCCGCCAAAAAAAAAAAGTATTCAAAAGGAGAGAAGCCTTAACAACTTTTTCTGTGAGGCCTGTGTTTTCCTGAAACCAAAACTAGACAAAGACATCACAAGAAAAGAATCAGTGTGGCACCCCTCCTGAAGAGAGAAGAAAAAATATCCATAAAATTTCATGAAAGACACAAAATTAACCTGTACTAACAGGTTAATTCAAGATGAGCAAGGAGAAGACGCTCCGGGAGTCTAAGGCTGGTTTAGTGTTTGAAAATCCATAGATTTGCTGTGTTAACACACTAAAACCTCACAGGTTCATTTCAACAGGTGTTCCAAAGGGCATTTTAAAGCAAACAGTGTCCGTTATTACTAAGAAGCTCCCTGAAAACTAAGGATAGGAGCTTCTCTCACCTCACCAGTAAGGCATGTCAACCAAAACACTTCCCGAGATTTCCTGTGGGATCAGGAGGAAGATGATAAACAACTTTATGCTGGTTCATTTGGTAACATGGATGAAACAAACCCTCTGCAGTACCAGGTGCTCTCCCCACTTCTATGCAACCTTCAAGCGCTATTTTGTGCAAGCTGACTGAAAGGTGAATCCAAGTGCCCAGACTGGAAGGGAAAGGGTTAAGGTCTCTTTGGGGATAGTGCCTCGACCTAGCTGGGCCCTGGCAAGGCAATGGGGGAGGGGCAGACTTCAGCAGAATCTTGACCATCAAAGCAGAGACTGTGTGTACCTAGTGTGGAAATTAACTCATCGAAATGTTAGCCCTGAAACCATAAAACTGCTGGAAGAAAGCTTATAAAAAGACTTTTAAACTGAGAGTTCTTACCTACAATAAAAGAGATAAAAGGAGGGGGGAGATAAATTGAAATTTGCAAAGTTAAAACCTTTTATTATTTGTTTGTTTGGTTTGGTTTTTCAAGACATTATTTCTCTATGTAGCCCTGGCTGTCCTGGAACTCGCTCTGCAGATGAGGCTGTCCTTGAACTTAGAGATCCTCCTGCCTCTGCCTCCTGAGTTTGGGGATTAAAGATGTGTGCCGCCACAGGCCCGACAAAACCTTTTATTCTTAGAAATAAGTTGTGAAAGAAAAGTGCAACATACAAATCTAATGAAGTACTTGTATATAGACTATGCAAAGAACTCTCATGCATATGTATAAACCGAGCCTCGGAAATAGCTCCCTAGGAAATGGATGAGGGGATGGAGAGATGACTCAGCAGGACCTGGATTCAGTTTCGGACCTTCACAAGGCAACCCACAACCACCTGTAACTCCAGTTCCAGGAGATCTGACACCCTCTTCTGGCCTCCGTGGGCACCAAGCACCCGTGTGATACGTGGACATACATGCAGACAGAACACCGCTACACATAGTATAAAATAAACAAACAAAACAAAGGAAACCAAAAAAGGATGAAAGACACAAACAGATGCTTTACCAAAGAAGATCCACAGGTGGCAGTTGAGTACATAAGATGATATCCAAAACCATCCATCGTTTGGGAGACACCCATGTCAATGGCCGTACACCCACACACCCACTAGAATGGTTAAACGTAAAGAAACGTCGGTGAGAACTCAGAGGAACTGGAATAGTGCATGGTGGATTGGGAACAAATGGTGGCATCGCTTTGGAAAACAGTCTCTTAGAAAGGGGTACACGATGAAGAAGACATGTAATTAAACATACGTGAAGAGTTACATAAACCGAGTAATATGCATACTCATGGCACCTAGTGACAGATGCCTGGCCAGGCAAGCAACCCTGCCCAAAGGATGTCTGTCCACCTCGGAGATGGACAGATACACATTTTGTAGAATGGGGAACATATTGCACGGGTGGCCTTCTTTAGGAAAAAAATAAATAAAAAGAGAAATTCAAAATTAGGTATGAAAGCAAGGCTGCTGGTCAATTCCAGGGTCTGTAGACTTCCGGGTTCTTTTCTTCTGTGCTGTGCTGCTGTGAGAGGGCACAGCCTGCTGGTGGCATCAGGTTCTCTTCCTCGCCGAGGGCCCTTGCCAGTCTTGGCGGCCCAAATGATGAGTACCCTCTACCCCCGAGACCAAGTGCCCCACGGTGGGAGCTCACTGTTAGTGTTAAGGCCTCAGCCACCGAGCACAGATCTGTTTTGAGACTTGAAGCTCTGCCATATGGACCTCCAGTGTCTTGCTCCCCACCTCGATGGCTCTGAAGCCTGGTCACTTTGTGAGCCTGAGTGTCTAGAGTTTGTGTGTCTTGCTGGGGCAGACCTGGGAGTATCTTGCTCAGTACCCTGCTGAGCTTTGCATTCCTTCTGTCCCTTGTCTGTTGTCCCAGTCTCCATGCTCACGACACCCTCGGAAAGGGGCATGACCTCCCAGGGTACAGCTTTCTCAGCAGTGTGCGAGCTCCCCTAGTTTGGGGGCAACTTGCCGTGCCCCCAACATGCTGACATACTCCTAGGAGGTGGTGAGAAGCATGGCTGAGTGGCCAGGCACCAGGACCTGGAATTCATGGTTCCAATTCCCAGCAACGATGTGTGTTCAGGCAAGTTAATCATGCTGTGCCTCAGTTTCCTTGCCTGTAAAGGAGGAAGGGTGGACTGAGGGTGTAGATAGCTCAGATATAACGTTGTGAGAGACCCGGCCCTTCACAACATACTTGTTTGTTTACTTATTTTTATGTGCATTGGTGTTTTGTCTGCATGTATGTGTGAGGTACCTATGGAAGAGCAGCCAGTGCTCTTAACTGACCACTGAGCCATCTCTCCAGTCCCTCACAATAGACTCGTAACTGCACTGCCTCCAGTCCTTGTGAAGATGGGCAGAGGGTGGTTGTGTGCTCAGGAGAACGGTTCTGGAATTTTCCAGTTGTCAGGAAGCATCTGTTCCCATCTGGGCTTCTTCCCTGGGCCATAGTCCAGCAAGGGACAGTCTGGGACTATCAATGATCCCTTCCTACTTTCTCCTCTCCCTTGGGAACAGGGTTGACTCTGGGACTTGTCCTCAGCACATAGTCCTGATTGGTATCCTACACAAGTAACAGTGTTTGGGGATGTGGAAAGTAGGGAGATCATTCTTGACAATACCTTCGGTTGCCCAGAGAGCTCAGCATAATGGTTTCTCAAACATCACGATGATAGACTCATTTGCAGCGGGCAACCTGGGAGCCAGTAGAGTTGTGCACCGGGAGTCATAGGGAGTCATAGGAGCAAGCTCTAACGGCCTCCTGCCTTTGAGTGTAGCCTCCAGCAGACACTCCTGAACGTCTCAGGTATAACATCCGGCCTCTGTAACCTTGGCTTACAAGGAATCTGCTGTGTGGGGTGCTCAGCCACACGAACAGTAAAGCACACAGTGTCACACAGTGGGTGACACTGATTTAAGCAAAACACAGTGAAGCTGCTGTAAGGACTGAACTTCTCTGACCTGCCCTAAAATAGCCATATTCCCCCTAGTAGTGGCCTGTGATGCTTTTAATGTTTTCCCTTTTGATATGGGAACAAATGAACAGATAGAAGCAACTAAAGTGAGAGCAATGGAGAGAAGAGAAAAGCCGGAAAGGGCCCTCATGTGAAAAGAGATTGGATACAAGCTAGCAGCAAGAGCTGAGCTCCCGGGAGTCAGGAGGGAACCTGCTGTCCTGTACTGTGACGCTACAGTAAGCCTCGTCTTCCTGTCTTACAGGTGGTGCTGGAGAGCAGGAGAAGGTGCCAGCGAACCCTGAGGCGCTGCTGCTCATGGCCAGCTCCCAGCGTGATATGGAGGACTGGGTGCAGGCCATCCGCCGGGTCATCTGGGCTCCACTGGGCAGAGGTACTTCCCGTAGTGCGCATGCCCACCCTGTAGAACCCCTGTCAGCAGGTAATCTTGTCTTCTTGCCCCAAGCCCACAAGTTTCCTCTCGCTTGGGACTTGCTGCTTGCATCCTGCATGTCTGATGGCAGCCTAGTCCCTCTGCTACTGTCCTTGAAGTCGTGCCTCCCACCTCGTACTTAGCAGGGGACATGAGTCTCCAAATAGAGGCCCGTGGCCTTTCCTTGCTTGTGTCCTTGCTTCTAGACACCCTGCCGAATTTTGAGCGCCCCCCACACAGTGTGCAGGTGGATCACACACTGCCCTGTGTTCAGGTCCAGTGTCCCTGCCACACTGCAACCCAACCCTGATCCCCATGCCCACTTCCTGTCCTTGATCTGCTCTTACTTTGAGGTTCATGCAAAACATTCAGAAAGTGGTACCAGATACCTGGTCTATCCCAGGCACTTGGGGATTCAGTGGCAAAGAAAGCAGGTGGTGGCCCCGACCCCCAACACCTGGCTGTCTGCCACAGATGGTCCATAGACAAGTACATATATCTGAAGGTGCTCACGAGTGAGAGATGCAAGAGAGCAGCGGGACTGGGGAAGGGAGGATGAGGACAGTGGGAGGGCCTAGGTGAGAGAGGTGGCTAGGCAGTGGGGTCATGGGGGACAGTGTTTAGACCTCATAGTAAGTGCAATGGGGCACCAGGGATAGGGGTAAGCAGGACATACATGGTTGTTGACTTAGATTGATTTTCGTTTGTTTTTCAAGATGGGGTTTCTCTATGTAGCTTTGGATGTCCTGAAACTCACTTTGTAGACCAGGCTGGCTTTGAACTCAGAGATCCACCTGCCGCTGCCTCCCAACTGCTGGGATTAAAGGCATGCAGCACCACACCCAGCTTGACTTAGATTGAAGGCCTTTTAGTCATCATGTAAGGAGTTGACAAGAGTGGCCATAGCAGGTGGGGACAGAATGAAACCAGCGGTGATGGGACAGCTGGGGGAGCTAGCTGCAGATGAATTGTAAAGGGAAGCTTCAGTCACCATGCTGGGGAGAGGGGAAGAAGGGCACAACTCACCGCTGAACATGGAGATCCAGAATCTTCCAGCAGGATAATTCTAGCCATGGCATGAACATTCTCTCTCCCTATAGTCTTTGTCTGGCAGGGACAAATTCTCCCCTTTGGGAGTGTCAAACCCATATCCAGATCTGACAAGAGCTGTGACCTCCTCCTCTTACCTTACCCATTTCCTTCTTTTATCGCTGGCTCTGTCCTTCCTGATCTCCTTCATCAAGCTGTCAATCCCTTGTATAGAAGAATGAATGTAAAGCTAGAAGGTAAGATTGTTCTCTGAGCCTTACTGGAGCAACCTCATGATCACAGCCTATTGACCCACAGAGCATTTAGTGGCCTGGGGAGACCAGAGCCACCCAGAGATGGCTTCTGTAGCCACAAAGGACCTCTTTTAGTGCCAGAACATTGAAAGCAAAGCCAAGGAACAGAGTAGAGTCCAGAGCAGACACTATGCAGTTGGTCTGTGGTTCATCAGAGGTGGCGAGCATCAGAGGAAACTTACAGAGAGGAAAAAGACTCACAGACCGTGTAAAGCAAACGACATGCATTCCATAAAAGTCAGTCAAGGGGCTGGACAGAGGAACAGTGAACGAAGGAGAAGATGCCTGTAACGTGCAAACCCAACATGATTTCCAGCTCAGTTAGGCAGAGGTGAGCCAGTAGAAACAATGGCTCAAATGGCTCAAATGGGCACTTTGCAAAGAAGCAATTCTCATGGTGAGTGGGCTTAGGCTCATTGGCCACCAAAGATATGTGAATTGCAGTGAATATGTACCCCCAATAATCAAATGAATAGATTTATACATTTGTGGGACAGCTACTCCAGTCAAGTTAGAGAACATTCCAGAGCTCTTATCCCCTTTTCTCATCCTTCTTTCTTACCCTTTTTAGGCATTCATTTCTGTTTTTTTTTCTTTGTATCTTTGCTCCCTAACTATCCATCATTCTCTTTGTGTTATCATTCAACTCACTATAAAGGGAATCATAGTATGATACTTTTTGACTGGCTTCTTCAGTTCCACAGTTTTATAGGCTTCTCTATGCTCTTATGGGGCTGTGGTGGATACCTTCATCCCACTGGAGAACTTCCCACTGTAAGAATGAGTTAGTTATTTACTCATCATGCAGCTAGGTGCTAGAGTTAGTTTCAGACTGCCATAAATATGGGGCTGTGAAAACGTGCTGCATCCAAGTCTCCTAGAAGAACTGTGCACACATCTCTTTATGGGGCCTGCCTTCCACGGGGAATGCTGGACCCTGTGTGCCTGGTAGTAACGTTACTAGACACCTCCAAGCAACTTTCCTGCTGATACTTGCAAGATTTGGGTGACAAGAAGATGTAACATGCAAAAAAAAAAAAAAAAAAAAAAAAAAAAAAAAATATATATATATATATATATATATATATATATATATATATATTCTGTCAAAGAGGCTTATGTAATTTACTCAAGATGGATAAAGTCAGTTAGGGATGGTACAGATGGTGGATCTGACCTCAGGGGCTTCACTTGTTACCAGCCCATGCAGGATGTGGAAAGGCCCTAAGAAAGCTACCATCTCTGAGCTCTACCTGTGGGCATCGGCCCAGCCAACATACCCATCTCTCTCTGCATGAGCAGAATGGGGAGTGTTGCAGCCTTGTTCTTCCCATCAGGCCTGAGGTTTCTGTGACCCAGAAGGCCATCTGCCGCATGCAGAAGAAACATGGACATTAAACAGGAACTGTCATCCAAGCCACTTATCTCCTCCTCCTCCTGTCGACCGCAAGTCCTGGGGAACTGTAGAAATATCAGGTAGGAGGGAGGCCATCCTTGTCTAGGCAAGGATGAAGCTTGAAGCTTGCAGGTGGGCCCAGTAGGCCCTGGAGCTTTCCTGGCATAGCCATTGTTATCCCCAGTTACCCGGACAGGTGGCTTAAAGGGTCAGTTCTCATCTATTCATCCAGAAATCCTGTCTGGTTTGTCTGTGGTGGTAACAGTCGGCCACCTCCAACAAATGGCCAGACAGCAGGCCATACTGCAGGGGAAGAGCCTGTCCTTACAGAGAAGAAAAGCAGGCAGTGGGTACTGTCAGGAAGTGCCCTGGAGTAGCTCTGTGGCAGTCACTCACTCGCTAGCACAGTATGTCCTTGGGCTGGGAGCAGGGCAGGCAGATCTAGTCCTCATGGAACTCATTTCCTAGAGGAACAGGGACTGCAGCAAGCTAAGAACCAGGCAGGCCACTGGGCAGTAGTCCGTGCGGTGTACGCTGGGCATGATGGGCATGGAACCGGAGTTTGGTGACACCTGACTGTCCAAAATGAAGCAGCAAAGGACACTGCTGGCACAGGAAGTGCATGACGCTGATGGTAGCATAAAAGGCATCCAGGGTGGCCAAAATGGACTGGGCGAAAGGAGTAGAGGTGGAGGGAGACCAGGAAAGGGGCTTGTCGACGTGCTGGGGCAGCTGGCTCCCCAGGCTAGATAGAGAAGCCTTGAGCCTGACAGCATCCTTCTGTCTGCTGAGAATGACTGAAAGGATGGAGGGAGGGAAACATAGGGCGGGAACCTAACCCAGAATGTTGAGCGTGCTGAGAAACACAGGGAGAAACTGACACACCTGTACGCTCAAATGCAGATTTATTATTATTTCTCAAACAGCCCAACATAACTGATTTATATCACATTTACACTGAATACAAGTAATCCAGAGATAGGATATATGAAAAAGTGTATTTAAAGTACAAATTCAGGTCCTGAAGAGATGGCTCAGTGGTTAGGAGTACTTCCTGCTCGTCCGGAGGACCTGGTTTAGGTCTGAGCACCCACATCAGATGTCTTACCCCTTCCTGTAACTTCAGCTCAATGGGACCTGATGTGTTCTCTGGCCTCTGCAAACACCACACACACACACACACACACATACACACACACACACACACACACACACATACACACATGTACATACATAGAGACACAAAAATATACACAAAAATTAAAAAATCAAATTAAAGTATATATTCAGTGGCAGAGCGCCTTCCCTGAGTGCATGAAGCCTCTGGTCCCTGGCATTGCCAAATGAAAAAAAAAAAAAGACAAAGAATTAGAAAGCTGTGCATAGGTAATATGACACCAATTTCCCATAAGGCCCTTAGCCATTGTCTGGTTTTGGTATCCTTGGGACTCCAGAACTGATCTCCATGGATATTGTCGGCTGACTGTCATTGAATTCTTTAATTTTTAGGTAGAGCCAGTAACTATTTCCCACAGGGGATGGACATGAGCAAATGAATGAGAAGTCACAGTTTGGGCAGGGTGTTTTGACTAAGCACCTGGAAAGACAGATTAGCTAATGAAATGTGCAATGAAAGGCCTACCAGAGATGCAGTTATTTGGGTGACTTAGCGTGAGGTTTATATTAGATACTGAAACTTGCCTTGTTGAGTAGTCAACTATATACGTATGTCTTGTCATCAGGAGGGGCCACCAGGCTGGAGTAAGAATTGTGAGGCTGCTGGCACACATCCTCAAAGCCATGAGGATGGGCGAGCCTCCAGGAAGCAAGTGTGGTAACAGGATAGCAAAGGGTATCACCCGCAGATAAGTCATGGAATAGCCGCGTGGTACAGCACGCCTTTAATCCCAGGCAGGTGTTCCTGCTTGATAATTCTCTGCATGAGGCCACTCCAGGTATCTTGGGTGAGTGTGTAGGGTTTGTATGTACCTGTAAGTATAGGTGCCTGAGGAGTCCAGAGGAGTGTCAGAAATCTTGATGATGGAGTTACAGGTGGTTGTGAATCCCATTTAACTCAGATCCTCTGCAAGAGCAGTAACTCTTAACCACTGAACCATCTCACCAGCCCCAGAACCTCAATTTTTCTGTCTCTCTCCCACTCTGCCCTCTCAGAATTATACTCTATTAAGTGGTCTCACCCCATTCATTCATTCATTCATTCATCAATGAATAATGGGTTAGTTCTACCTTTTGGTTTTTGCATAATACTG